ATTATGAAGGACAGTAATACACATGCATGCAACGTATAAACAACAAAACAGTGACAGGGCAGTAATAGACAAGAAATATATGCAATAAACTCAGAGAAATGAATGCATACCTTTTAACTTGGAACAATAAGACTTTGTCGATGCACACAGCACGCACAGCCCACTTGCAATTGGGGTAATCAACACACACAACATGCAAAACCTTCGGGCAAGATGTCTTCGTTCTATATTGAAAAAAGTTGGTAATAACATACATCTTTAAGTGAAAATCAAGTTCCTTCTTGCTTCCATAGATGCTATTCAATGCAATACGCGTGGGTTCGCAATGGTTGACTACAGGCATATTATGAATCTCTTCATCTACGAGAGCATTTAACCTCGTAATTTCAGCACTCGAAATACGTTCAAGTTCAAAGTCTGCATCCACAGTGTGACTGGAATTATTGCCTTCGTCACTTAAGCCACCACACTCTTCGACATAACTCGTATGATTAATTCCACTTTCATTGTGAATATCATCACATATTGTGATGTTTTCTTCCTCTCCAATCGTAGCATCAACCTCCTCACCGGATACAAATTCCGCACAGTTACTGACCTCAATATCATCGTTGGTAAAGCTGCAATTGTCTGCACCAGAATGGATATCATCAATCACGTTTTCAGGGTGATTATGATGGGCAACTGAGATATCTTGATTTTCTGCACTGGTAGCATGTTCATCCACTGCTTTAGGAACATCTGGTAAAATTTCAATGCACAAGGGCATTTTCATCGGATCACTTTGAATGCTCTTCAACTGCAGATAAATCTGCAATGTCTCGTCGTCGCATACAATCACCGGGGGTGGGCATGAAGCAAAAACGTACGAGATCATTATATTCTTGTCAACCTAATTCCCCCCCATTGCAGAAAACAAACAAGAACGAAGAGAATCGAAAGTACAATTAGCCGGTATTGTTATGCCGACAACATGAATACTAGAAAAAAGAGTGTTCGTTACCCACTGACCATCGAATCTGATCATTATCCATATTGTTGGAGGATTTCCAGGGAGGGAGTCCATGGATACTAGGAGCAAAATGGCACACGGTACTGTCCTGTTGGTGGTCTAGAAATGGAGAATGAAGGAAGAAAACGGTTTCCGCAATTATAGATCGATATTAATTAAAACGATTGATATATAGTATGTATTATATTCTTAACGGGAGTGCAGCGGCTGATCGTGCATATCATGTGCGAAAAAACAGGAGCAAACCATAAGATACTCCGTATTAATTAATTAACGTGGAGGGCACCAGTGGAATAGAAATACGGGTAAAAAATTATTAAATCATGATGTATGGTATTAAAGCATCATAGTAGGAAGAAAACATGGCTAAGTCATAGATTGGTAAAAACATGATGTTTTAGTGATACGGTGGATAATTTTCTCAATAAAGAAAAAGATAATCTAACAAGGAAAATGCTCTTTCTATACAATTGTCTATACATAGATAAGTTGACTGACGCATTATGAAAAAATCCATTTTCACAGAGATAAAAAAATTATTTGTATCATAAATAATTTGATCACAATCTATAAAAAGAAGTGCTTCAATTTCAATTTAAATTGTTTGTGATACAACTAATTTTTTTGTCTGTGTAAAAATCGACCTTTTTTATAAAACGTCGGTCAAATTTTTTTTGCACAGACAATTTGACCAGCGTGTACAATGACGTGTATGATGTCGTGTACATAAAGCAGGACTGATCTAACAACGGTTGGAGACGATTTAAATGCGAGAATATACTTCGTACGAAGAAATATTTATCCACTTGAGTATCTCTAGACAATATTTCCAACTAATTTTGGAAGAGTTTTGCTAGGGATACACAAATGTATACACATGTTTGTCCTTCACAGAAATTTTGTTTGTCACAAACAAAATTTCTGTGAAGGACAGACATGTGTATACATTTTGTGTACACATTTTGTGTACCTCAAGCATTTTTAAATTTTGGAGGGGAGGGAAAGGTTAATGAAGTTTATGACCATCCTTTTCATGTATGAGAGTTTAGAAAATTAGAGGACATACTTTGGAGAGTTTTGGTAACCCTCCAAAACCCTCCCTAAATGCTTAATTTTTAATTTTCTCCAATTTGGAGGGTTTTGAAGAATAATAAATGAGATCATAATTTAAGTTCAATTAAAAATGAATATCCAATTATTTGAATTCGTCATATTTCAAAGTGATTTTAATTGTAATTCCTACAAAAGATCTTCTTCTTCCTTCCATATTCCGAAACATACACTAAAACTAAAAGGCTAATTTTCGGAACTAAAAGTCTAAAAAACATTTGCTGGTTTTCGGAACATTCACATGCATCTTCAAAAAAAGAACTTTCACTTTCCTTTTTGGAATATGAATGTTTAACAGCCGAAGTCCATTTTTTCTATCTATATAAATTAAAAATATAATATTTTTACTATGGGTCATCCCAAAACAGTCTCTGTGCTTTAGCACAAAAGTAAGGCTCCATACATTCGACCCCCTTGCCCCACCTACGGTGGAAGCCTTTGCGGCACTAAAGTAATGATGATGATGATATACAAATACAATATTTGTATAACCTACCAGATGCGGAAATAGTCGTTTAATTTTGGATGATTTTAATTGCGCAATTCATATGTACAAGTATTTTTGTGATTTTTATGACTTAATTAGATGGCTATCTTAGTTTTATTCTTTTCCTTACGTGCATCATCGTTGATGTTCCCATTTTTGTGGTGCATCTTTTCATTTTTTCGTTGTTCTTTTAGACTTTTACATCAACAATTTTAAATGAATCAAATGATATCCTTTAAAAAAATGATACGGGAATTTGATTAAAAACAATTCTATTTTGCAATAAATTTAATGATATGGGATTTGATTAAAAAAAATCTATTTTGTAATAAATCAAAATAATTCTATTCTTTATTCAATTTTTAATTTTTCATTTTCTTTTTCAAGTACTGTTAAACGCAGTACCATGGATCGGAAGTTCTCCGCGCACCCATTAAATGTCTGCGCGCACCTACGATTGTTCATAGTCGGACACCTTTATCCTCCGCATTGTTTCGCTCCAAAAAGATACGTACTCCCTCCGTCCCGTAATTAAGTTCACCGTTTGACTTCATACAGATTAAGAAAATAAATTTGACTTTACTGTGGATGCACTGTTTTGCACTGTTTAAACATTGTTTGACATTGTTTGTGAAAGATATGGACTAGTATTAAATCAATAATAGGCTAAATAATAGGGTAAATAGCTGGGCTAATTATCTAAACCGTTGCAGCTGTCCATTGATTAATTTTATCATTATATTAATGATATTGTATCCTAATGGGTGTAACGGAGCAGCCATTAAAACCTGGAAGAGTAACGGCCTTAGAGACCGACATATTCCTCCTTTAAAAGCACTATCGGTTCATACAAGAATTCCTAGCTTTCTTCTATCGAATCTTTCACCCAGAATTCTTCTATGTCCGTTTGACGATTCACGTGGACACCATAGTTGGGGATTCTCACCAGTCATCACGGAGTCCGTCTACGAGAAGCTCGTGTAAGTTTATATTTTAATTCTTTGAGAATCTCTTAACAAGTAATTCAACCATAAATCTATAATCTTTGATGAATATTGCTTCCGCTGCGATATGTATTACCGATTCATCAGTTTCCTTCAGTGGTATCAGAGCCCGGGGCTCGATTTATGGTTGAAATTACGTGTTTTGTTACTCCATGTGTTCTATTTCAATTTTTCCTGGAACACCTTTGCACAAAATTCAGTTTTGGGCACTTAATGATAAATAAATAAAAACGAATTTCTGTCCATGGTGTGTCTTCTTGGCTGCCATGATGGTTCCCTCATGTTAAGGATGATGTTGGGCGTTGCTAGAGAGACCTGGGATGACAGAAAGTTTTGATAAATTATTTAAAAGGCTACATAGGAGCCATTCTTTAAGAACACACCAAGTGTTTGACAGAATGTCTGAAAGAACATTTGAATTTCCAAAATAAATTGCAAGTTTAAGGGTGATGCTCAATAAAGGATAGATAAAGTTTCTGTGAAACAAGTAACTGTTTTGGCCGATTTTGTTCATAATATAATTTGTTTCATTATTTTTGAAATAATAAAATTAAACATATTATATGACAATTCAGAATTAAACTCAGTTAACCCTTTTATATATGATTGACATATGTAATTTTATAAAAGTTCTCTTGCAATTATTTTGAATGCACAGCATGGTAATTTGATTATATGCTAAATTGTTAGAACATATTAGATATAATTTATTTCTATATCATAGAGACCGCTTTTACGTTTGGGTAGGCGGCGCCCAATGTTTGTAGTCCGCATTGTTTTGTCTGGGTAGGCGGCGCCCAGTACTTGTGGTCCGCATTTTATGCCTGGGTAGGCGGCGCCCAATAATTGTTTAAATGAGTTAAACAATTGGTATCACATGAAAACCCCACAATAATATAGGCCGTGTTTCTAATTTTGCGTCATCCGTTATAATTGATTGGGTGCTAACCCTTTTCGATCAAGAATAATAACACCCAAGTGTTTACTCTGAATTGACAAGGTTAAGGCTCAAACATAGATGCATAGATGGTATCGTGTAATGGTGTTGGCCTACTTGGATTATTTTGGCGCCCAAGTGACCAAAACAATTCAAGGACGCAGATTGATGATATCAATCAACCAAGAATTGCACTGTTGCAATTGGTTTAGAGACCTACTGAGTAATACTACTGCAATCATCAGCCCAAGCAGGGGTTGCATAAGTGTATACTTAGATCTTGGACCACTATGGTTTATATTTGATATAAACCCAAATTTACGTTGGGGTCGTAATATATGAAAATTAGTGGGAGTTAATCAAATTAAAGTCCTTGTTTGATTGACCTTAAAAATGTGATCAACTCAATTACTCTTTCTGATTTTTCTCCTTTTCTATTCAATTACTCAGATTTAATATGTCCAATATGTCTTTGAAACCTTTGATGGAAACCAACAAGTTGACTGGGTCAAACTTTCCGGTTTGGCTTAGATGCCTGCGAATTGTCTTAAGGCATGAACGGATTGAATATGTCTTGGACAAAGCAATCGGTGTCATCCCTGACAAAGCTTCCCCTGAATACAAAGATTTTAACGAAGCCGCTCATAAGAAGCATGTTGATGATGCAATTTCTGCCCAGTGCATCATGTTGTCCTCTATGGACAGCAAGCTGATGGAGCAGCATGAACACATGTACCCGTTTGAGATGCTGAAGCACTTGGAAAGCCTTTATTCTGTTCAGGCTAGGACCTTGGAATATGAGATTCTTAGAGATCTTTTCAAGTGCAGGCTCAACGACTCGGGAAGGGTTTCAGAACATGTACTGAAGATGATTGGACTGATTGAGAGGTTGGCTATGATTGGAACGAAACTGCCTGAAAACATCTCAATCAACCTAATCTTGCAGTCGTTGCCAGACTCATTTGAGAACTTCATTGTGAATTTCAATATGAGTAATACGACAGTAAGTCTGCCTGAGCTTCATAACATGTTGAACACTTATGAGTCCTCCACCTCGAAGGGCAAGGCTATTCTCATGGTGAGCTCTTCTTCTGCCAATCCTAATGCGAAAGGAAAGAATAAGCAGAAGAATAAAAAGAAGAAAGCATTTGATGCTAAATCCATAAAACCTAAGGGTGGAATCCGTAAGAAGCCAAAGCTTGCAAAGGATGAATGCCTTTTCTGTCATGAAAAGGGGCACTGGAAGAAGGATTGTGCAAAGTTCAAAGCACACACTGCTGTTGGTGTAAACTCAGGTTTGTTTGTCATTGAGATAAATATGTCTATAAATAATTCACATTCCTGGGTATTAGATACTGGCTGTGGCTCACACATTTGTAATAATGTGCAGGGGCTAAGTGACAGCAGGAAGGTGAGGCCCGGGGAGGTTGACTTACGCGTGGGAAATGGAGCAAGAGTTGCTGCTGAGCGTGTAGGAACCTATAGATTAGACCTCCCTTCGGGAAATAAACTAGTTTTAAAAGATTGTTATTTTGTTCCCTCGATTACGAGAAATATTATATCTGTTCCCTTGCTAGACATGGATGGTTTTCATTTCAGTTTTGGAAATAAATCTTGTTCTTTTGCATTGAATAAGATTGTTTATGGAAATGCATCTTTGGTGAATGGTTTATATTTACTCAATTGTGAACGAAGTATTCTTAATGTCTCAAACAAACGTCCTAAACTAGGTAACACGAATAACCTCACCTATCTTTGGCACTGTAGGCTTGGTCACATTAATGAGAAAAGAATTGCAAGATTGAGAAAGTTAGACTATCTCACATCATTCGATTTTGAGTCGTATGGTACTTGTGAATCTTGCCTTAAAGGCAAGATGACTAATAAGCCACTTTCTGGGAAGGGATTTCGAGCTAAAGATGTGCTTGAGTTGGTTCATACTGATGTGTGTGGGCCATTCTCAACTCAAGCACGAGGTAAGTATTCATACTTCATAACTTTTACTGACGATTTCTCAAGGTATGGATATGTGTATCTCTTGAAACATAAGTCAGAGGCTTTTGAGAAATTTAAGGAGTTTAAGTTAGAAGTCGAAAACAAACTTGGAAAGAGAATTAAAACTCTACGATCGGATCGAGGAGGTGAGTATTTGAGCCAAGAGTTTGTCGATTACCTAAAATCACATGGAGTCCAATCTGAATGGACACCACCAGGGACTCCTCAAATGAATGGAGTTTCAGAGAGGAGAAATCGAACACTATTAGATATGGTTCGATCCATGATGAGTTTCACAAATCTTCCTACATTCCTTTGGGGTCATGCTTTATTAACCGCGACCTATATTCTGAATAGAGTTCCTTCCAAATCAGTCGAAAAAACACCTTATGAATTATGGTGTGGCAAGAAGCCAAGTCTGGCACATATTCGGACCTGGGGTTGTCCGGCATTTGTCAAGAAAATGATGACTGACAAATTAGAATCAAAAAGTGAGAAATGTTATTTTGTGGGATATCCAAAGGAAACTCGAGGGTATTATTTCTACTCTCCTGGAGATCACAAGGTGATAGTATCCAGAAATGCGTCATTTCTTGAAGACGAATATGTCTATAAAGAACCGTGTCGTAACATGGTGGATCTTGAAGAAATTCAAGAACCACAAAATGGAGTGGAGGATGAAATCCTGTCCGATGGTGATAAAAATTCAGTGGGAGTCTTTGACGGTTCATTGAATGAAGGTTTGTATTTTAAATTAAATCCTTTGGACAGTGGGAGTCATCAAAGAGAAGAAGGTGCAATGATTGCATCATCTCTTCCTCAAGAAAATGAAAATAAAATTCTTGAGAGCTCTCATAATTTTGGACAACCCTCTGTACAAGAACATTCTCATGTTCAGAATGATGAGCCTGAGCAAACACAATTCCAACTTGATAGACCTCAGAGAAATCGTCGTCCACCCAATAGGCTTAATCTACTAGTTCAAAATCAAGATGATAACGAGCCGATGGATGATGATGAACCGAGAAGTTACACTGAGGCAATATCAAATACTGACTCGGGAAAATGGAAAGAAGCCATGAAATCTGAGATGGACTCGATGTACACCAACCAAGTTTGGAATTTGGTTGACTTGCCAAATGGAGCGAAACCAATTGGTTGTAAATGGGTCTTCAAGAAGAAGACTGATGCAAATGGCAAAGTACAAACCTACAAGGCTAGATTAGTGGCGAAAGGTTATAGTCAACGTGAAGGTGTTGACTATGATGAAACCTTTTCTCCCGTTGCAAAGATGAAGTCTATTAGGATTTTGCTTGCTATAGCTGCATATTACGATTATGAGATTTGGCAGATGGATGTGAAAACTGCGTTCCTTAACGGAGAACTTGAAGGTGATGTCTACATGACACAACCAGAAGGATTCACATCACAATCTAGACCAAATGCAGTATGCAAGCTGCTGAAATCTATCTACGGACTCAAGCAAGCTTCTAGAAGTTGGAATATTTGCTTTGATAAAGCAATTAAATCGTTTGGTTTTGTTAGAAGGAGGATCCTTGCGTCTATTGTAAACGTAAGGATGGAAACATAGTTTTCATTATCATTTATGTTGATGACATATTGATATTGGGAAACAATGTACCTCTAATGAAAACCGTGAAAGAATGGTTGTCTAGCTCTTTCATGATGAAAGACTTGGGTGAGGCCTGCTACATTATTGGGATTAGGATCTATCGAGATAGACCTAATAAGATGTTGGGGCTGTCACAATCCACTTACATAGACAAGGTGCTAAGGCGTTTTTCCATGGAAAACTCCAAGAAAGGAAGCCTTCCGATGGGACATGGCATCAAGTTGTCAAAGAAGGGTTGCCCTTCAAGTGATAAACAGCTTGAATACATGAAAAGGATTCCATATGCTTCGGCTATAGGATCAGTAATGTATGCCATGATTGGCACTAGGCCAGATGTGGCTTATGCTCTTAGCATCACTGGCAGATTTCAGCAAAATCCCGGCGAGGTACATTGGAAGGCTGTCAAAAGTATTCTTAAATACCTTAGACGTACTAAACAGTATTTCTTAGTCTATGGTGGACAACAAGAATTATCGGTTACTGGGTATACTGATGCTAGTTTTCAAACTGACCAAGATGACTACAAGTCACAATCTGGATATGTCTTCATCCTCAATGGCGCTGCAGTAAGTTGGAATAGTTCTAAACAAGATACAACTGCAGATTCGACTACTGAAGCTGAGTATATCGTTGCCTCTGAAGCTGCCAAGGAAGCTGTCGCTCTGTTAGAGTTTGTGAAAGAACTAAATGTTTTTCCTAGTGCTAAGAACGCTATACCATTGTACTGTGATAACACAGGCGCGGTTGCGCAGGCAAAAGAACCAAGGAACACAAACAGAAACAAGCACGCCCCAAGAAAATATCGTCTGATCACAGAAATCATAGAGAGAGGGGATGTGAGCTTAGAACGAGTACACACTGACGATAACCTAGCGGATCCATTGACCAAGCCGTTATGTGTTGCTAAACACAACAAACACTTTGAGAATTTGGGTATTAGATATGTTGGAAATTGGCTCTAGGTTATTAAGAGTGGTTTGTATGTCTAGGAACAGTTTTATTAAGACATACTTACTTAATCACATTGATTCATGAATTTGTTTTCTCATGGACATTTGCATTTATTAGAATAATTGTTTTACTGTTTGCTATTATTCTTTTATTTGTTCCCTTGAACTAGTACTGTTGGTAATGATGTGAGACATTACAGATAAAGTTTAGTTCTTAAATCACCCCAACTAAAGATCATCATGAAGGGATATTGATGATATGATATAAGTTGGCATGTGGTCTGCATCACAGTCTTAGAGAATATAGTAGTTCTCACAACTATGAGATATTAAATACTCGTGATGGACACATGGATACTTTGGAGAGTGTTGGTATACCCTACCATTAAATCATTTGTTAAAGTGTCTATGGTTTATTGGTGTGTAAAGTATGTAATAGTCCTTGGACTTGAGGTCATTATGCATCTTATTCACAGAGTTGTGTGCTTTGACCAAGTTCAAAGCTTTCACTCCGAACGGGGTAGATACGGCTTGGATTGGGCACACTACGATGTAAATGAAGATGATAGTTGAGCCAAGAATAGAATTCATTTCTCGAATGGATTTTCGAGAGAGCACTTGATTTATCTATGTCATTTGACCATTAAGTCACTGGCCAGTGCAGAAGACATACTCGATTATGTAATTGAATATGTTTATACAGGGTCATTTAATAAAGATGAGAAGAATTGATTGAGCTATTGGGATAGACACATGGCAGATCCTAGGCTTAATTGAGTGTTAGTAAATGAAGGGATATTACTCAAAACTTCACATAAAGGTTAAGTTTACTGAATCCATGTAAACGTTCTCCATATATCAAGTTCGCTATACAAAGCAGTCTAGGAGTTTTGTATAGACTTTAACTAGGTTACCGTTGATAATGGAGACCTATAGGGTCACACAAAATGTGTGTCGTTGTACGGATAAGGGTGTGATGTTAGTGCAGAATTATTGATTATGATTACGAGTCCAAGTGGGAGATTGAAAGATATGGACTAGTATTAAATCAATAATAGGCTAAATAATAGGGTAAATAGCTGGGCTAATTATCTAAACCGTTGCAGCTGTCCATTGATTAATTTTATCATTATATTAATGATATTGTATCCTAATGGGTGTAACGGAGCAGCCATTAAAACCTGGAAGAGTAACGGCCTTAGAGACCGACATATTCCTCCTTTAAAAGCACTATCGGTTCATACAAGAATTCCTAGCTTTCTTCTATCGAATCTTTCACCCAGAATTCTTCTATGTCCGTTTGACGATTCACGTGGACACCATAGTTGGGGATTCTCACCAGTCATCACGGAGTCCGTCTACGAGAAGCTCGTGTAAGTTTATATTTTAATTCTTTGAGAATCTCTTAACAAGTAATTCAACCATAAATCTATAATCTTTGATGAATATTGCTTCCGCTGCGATATGTATTACCGATTCATCAGTTTCCTTCAGTTTGGACACTGTTTGGCATTGTTTGACACTGTTTGACACTTTTTTGATGTAGATTATTTGCCAAATAAGGAAAGTTTTGAAGTGTGAAGTTAATTTCGGGACTGCCCAAAAAGGAAAGTGAGAAGTTAATTTTGGGACGGAAGGAGTAGTAATTATGCTGCGCCGCATCAAGTATGCTTTTTTTTTTTTTTTGTTATATTTAGAGAAGCAGTTTATTTAAGTTACGGAGTATAACACAGCAAGACTTTGAAAGTAAGACTTTGACGGTTGGAGGCTTATTTCATTGTTCTATACTTAATCACTTCACTTTGTATGATGTGTATTAGAAAGCCATATATTTATTTGACATTTGGCATTTTTAAAATAGACTAAACATTAAAGCATTGTGGATGCTCTAAGGTGCCGGTTTAAAACAATTGATGAAAAGGTCAAAATTGTCTCACTGAATAAAGTAGATCCATGGTTTGAGTTTGGTACTATTTCTTCCAAACCGCATTAAACCGATCCGAAA